TTCGGGCTCCTGAGGAGCTCTATACTATGTATAATGGGATGCAGATCGCTGCGCAAAGTTCAATTTAGCGACAACTCCATTAGCGCTTTTCTAGAGGAAGGACGGCTAAGATAAATTAACATTGCGACGATGCATTTAATGCAGATTTATTACTCCATTGATTAAATGATACAGCTTGCTGATATATATATGCCTTTTTTCAACGCTGGTATGGCCCTATCCAGCTTGTGCGCTTGCCGTAACTAAACGGAAGGGCCTCTTTTGTAATTTAGTTAAAGGTAATAGGTCCGAATTGTAACTGAATGCCAAGCTTTTTTTTGAAACTTACCTGCTCAATTTCTATATCAATTTCCACTTTTGCCGTTGCTTTGTTTTTTGGCACATGATTAATGCTAATCGTTTTATTCGTTAATAGGAAGAAGACAAAATGGCCTCTGAAGTTTTTCTAAGGTTCTGGTGTTTTATTACTATTTGGCTGTGTCGAAAAATAGTCGATATCTTGAATTCAAGTGAAGTACAAAATAAACCATGTTCTCCACCGACAGCAGCAATATAAGACATATAATGCTCGTTTTCTTGATTTTGAAGAGAATGATCAGATACAAAATTTATTAACTTATTGTTTGAGCTGAAACTACCCTGTCCGGGGAATTATCCTAAAAGGGTGTCTGTAGTTTTCGCAGGTGTTCACAATCTCGGTTTCCCAACCTCGGTTTCTCAGGTGATTCCTAACTATCTGACTCTTTTCTTTAATCCACGTTATACTTCACTCTTCCGTAACTAGAAAATTTCTAGAATATTGACTGTAACCTCGTTTATGAAATATCGTTTATGAGATTTCGCATTTTAATCAGCAATGATATTTAGTTAATACGGATGGACAATGAGAAATTGATACCCAGACCAAAAACTTGCTAACAAAAATGATAAATTTTGCAGACAGAAATGGATGGAGATGGCGGAGAAGCTGGAGGGAGTTATTCAACAAACAAAGATACATTGAATGACCCAGCGACAATGACCCAGGAGCAGCTTGAGCTTCGACTTCAACAAGTAAGATTGTCTTCTAGTTGATTCAGCATGTGTCGAGGAACCTAGATGTTGAACTTATTACTTTGTTTGCAGATACAAGATTTAAACTCGAGAATCCCCAATAGTTTCCGCGACCCAAGAATTTGGAAGGCTATAATAGTGTAGTTTGATGCCATTTGTATTTTGCTTTGAGTCGATTTGACGTGGATAAAAGTGATTTCATGCATTTTGTAAACTCTGTTCGATGGCACTGTTACATTTTGAAGAAGACTACAGGACTCAATGAGGACATTGACCGGGCTGTCCGGGGAGTATGTGACAGTCGGCCAGAATGGACAAAACGCAATTTCGTGTTCGCATTTTGTTCGGAACATCTGACAGAGAGAATAAATGGTTTTATGGATTAGTGACGCTAATTGAACGATTAGACGAATCAGGAGGGGTTAGTTTTGACTAGCATGCTAATTTTTAAAATTTCGATTTAGACGTGAACGACACGTAACTTTTTTATATTTCGCACCAACTGAAACTGCGAAAACAGAACGACAGAGTTCTCAGCGAAAATCACAACAACGGAAGTAGTGTGAAACTGATCGAGATTGAAGAAAGAATAGGATTGTCAGAAACCATATCGAGTTGTAACAATTGTGCCGCTAAAATTGTTACAAAGCAATTCACGAGAACCAGGAAGGGTGTTGGGACGACGTGTCCAGCCTTCCGGAAAAAAATAAAGACGTTATTTCTCCGGATTCCAGAATCCGGAAGAGTCTCGGGAGATAATTTAAACCTTATTTTTATAAAATTTTAGCTTCCTGGAGATGTCCTGAATTGAATTAATAATATCCAAATTTGTTTTCAGATCATGACAAGCTAGGGGTTGATCCATCTTTGAGGGATATGATGATTTTTATCTAATGATTGAAAACACTAATAATATAATAAATAAGTAGGAGCCCTAATTTGAAGAGTAGCCTCGTGATCTGGGGATACTGAGGCCCAACCATGAGCTCACTATTTTGCAAATAATTAACTAATCAGATCTTTCTGATCGAAGCTGGAAACAGTAACTTTTTTTTTAGCGAACCAATGTTAGAAAGACCAACAAAAGAACTGGCTTTGGCAGAGACGGTGAAAAGAATGTAGAGCTGTGTTTAGACGCTAGCCAGTCGTTTTAGAACCTAGTTTTGTTTTCCGTCGATATGTACTTCCGGGCGAATGTTACACTAGTCGGGAAAGACACATTGAACCCCCAGTTTTGTGAGATATCTTCCTTGCCGCTTAAAACGGGCTCCTTAACATCATGCTGCCTTCCGATCATGGAGGCTATCTGGAATTGTATAAGAAAACATCACTAGTACTGGAATCTCAAGATCCTGTTACAGCAAAAACACAGTAATATGTACGAAAATCAATTAATTGAAAACTGATTGAACAATTCGAAAGAAAACAAACCTCATTAACTCCTTAGATGAAACAGATAAATACGCAATCGACCTGGCCTCTGAAAAGGGAGCCTCTAACTGGCTCAACGCTTGACCATTGAGCAGATACGACTTCAACCAGAATACATCAGAATTCAGAGATGGTATTTACTTAAGATACGGATGGGAACCGACCAAAATCCCACTCACATGTGCATGTGGTGCTAACTTTAACTTGACACATGCGCTACACTGTCCAAAGGGCAATTACACCCACATAAGACACAATGAAGTTGGAGACACAATTGCCAACCTCATGAACGTTGAGAATGAGCCGAAACTTCAGCCGTTGCAGGGCGACAGCTTTGTCAACAATTCAATTACAACTGAAGATGAGGCTTGAGTTGACATTAAGGCAAATGGATTCTGGGGCTCGCGTTTTAGCCGCGCTTTTTTTGATGTGAAAATTTTCAACCCCATGCCTAAAGATCGTGAAAACTGCATAAAGACGCATTTAAATATCACGTAACGCTGAAGAACAAATATCAGCAAATGTGCCATTCTGCCAGATGACACAGCGCAACCTTCCGGCGACACGAGAAAGAACGAATAAAGGCCTTATTAAAGAAAAATTATTGCGATGGAGGGTGGTAATATTCTAGAATTTTTATTTTCAAAATTTCGATCGGAAGGGGAATATTTCTCAGAAATACAAAAAGGCGGCCATTTTGACGAAAAACTACGAAAAAGAAAAACAACGCCAAATAGTGTGAAAAACGGTCGCACAAGAGACGAGAAATACGAAGCTTCTTATCGTGGCAACAACACACGATAAGACCCTTATCAGCGGATATTAGTGGAGAAGGAAGCTTCAGTGGGGAAGGAATATTCCACGGAACCCTCCCGGGACACAAATTGGAAGAGATAAGAGCGTTATCTCAGGAAGATTACGGGAGCGGAGGCTTGGTCCCCCAGAGCTTGTTTTATGTGGAGGGACTGTATAGAACTGACTGTATAGCTACTTGGATGTCGTGAAACTTTAAATTAACACCGGTGTAGTTTGATATTTTAGAATATGAGTAGCTAGAAAGAGGAAAGGGTCAATCCATCTCCAATGGGTTTAATATAGAACTGTCACACAAAATCATATTAAAATAGGTTGTTCGAGCCGTGTTTTTAATGACAATCACGTAGTCTGAGTATCCGAGACTCAGCTATGTGGTTGTGTTCGCATGTAAACGAAAGCTGATCAAAAGTCGTTTGACTGATGGCCTAAAAATAGTAACTTTTTACTTAGCCCTAAACAGACCAGAAAATCAACTGGCAAGGTCGAGACGGTGAAAAACAAGTAGGATTAAGGTAACTGACGCCTGCCAGTCGTTAATAGGTACTTTTTTACGCTCCGTCGCTGTGTAGTATTTGGAGGAATGTTACAAAAGCATTTTAATCGTAGAGCAGAGTAGCTTCTGCCGGTTAATTTTTGGATGCACCGGTTGCGCTGACCAACAGTCACGCGGACGATGCAATGTTTAACCGAATAACTAAGTGAAAAAAGACAAGAAAGCTATCCAGAATCGATAATTTACATAAGAACTAAATTAAGCTTCGGGCTCCTGAGGAGCTCTATACTATGTATAATGGGATGCAGATCGCTGCGCAAAGTTCAATTTAGCGACAACTCCATTAGCGCTTTTCTAGAGGAAGGACGGCTAAGATAAATTAACATTGCGACGATGCATTTAATGCAGATTTATTACTCCATTGATTAAATGATACAGCTTGCTGATATATATATGCCTTTTTTCAACGCTGGTATGGCCCTATCCAGCTTGTGCGCTTGCCGTAACTAAACGGAAGGGCCTCTTTTGTAATTTAGTTAAAGGTAATAGGTCCGAATTGTAACTGAATGCCAAGCTTTTTTTTGAAACTTACCTGCTCAATTTCTATATCAATTTCCACTTTTGCCGTTGCTTTGTTTTTTGGCACATGATTAATGCTAATCGTTTTATTCGTTAATAGGAAGAAGACAAAATGGCCTCTGAAGTTTTTCTAAGGTTCTGGTGTTTTATTACTATTTGGCTGTGTCGAAAAATAGTCGATATCTTGAATTCAAGTGAAGTACAAAATAAACCATGTTCTCCACCGACAGCAGCAATATAAGACATATAATGCTCGTTTTCTTGATTTTGAAGAGAATGATCAGATACAAAATTTATTAACTTATTGTTTGAGCTGAAACTACCCTGTCCGGGGAATTATCCTAAAAGGGTGTCTGTAGTTTTCGCAGGTGTTCACAATCTCGGTTTCCCAACCTCGGTTTCTCAGGTGATTCCTAACTATCTGACTCTTTTCTTTAATCCACGTTATACTTCACTCTTCCGTAACTAGAAAATTTCTAGAATATTGACTGTAACCTCGTTTATGAAATATCGTTTATGAGATTTCGCATTTTAATCAGCAATGATATTTAGTTAATACGGATGGACAATGAGAAATTGATACCCAGACCAAAAACTTGCTAACAAAAATGATAAATTTTGCAGACAGAAATGGATGGAGATGGCGGAGAAGCTGGAGGGAGTTATTCAACAAACAAAGATACATTGAATGACCCAGCGACAATGACCCAGGAGCAGCTTGAACTTCGACTTCAACAAGTAAGATTGTCTTCTAGTTGATTCAGCATGTGTCGAGGAACCTAGATGTTGAACTTATTACTTTGTTTGCAGATACAAGATTTAAACTCGAGAATCCCCAATAGTTTCCGCGACCCAAGAAATGCGCCTATGCGGAAAATGAGCGTGGACCTGATCAAAACCTATAAACTAATCAATGAGGTTAGTTTGTGTGAACTTTCTGATGATATTTGACTAGTTGGTCATTGATTAGCATTCTAATTAATTGTTTGAGCAGGTAATTTTATTGCTTAAGTATTTCATAATATGCAGTGGCGGTTTTCAGGGCTTCAGAGGCACTAAAATTTCCTTATATATATAACAAATGGAGCTTTGAGTAATTTTGGAAAGCTTAGACCCCAAAGTTGCATTGGCAACTTTAAAATTAAGGCTGATGTCACTTCGACATATTTTTTCATACTGAATGCATATGCATCAGCGGTCGAATGATTTATCAGTCGAACGAAAGAAGCATAAGTTCACCTCATGCAGTTTCTGTTTCCTTTGCTTCAGATCTATTACGCCAAGAAGAAAGCCGACAAACAACGACATAAGCATGCAGCGCCTGCAACAACTACCGAAGAAACCACTAATATACATACTGCTGCAGTAGCTCAAACTTCTCACGCAAGCACTTCGCAACGGAAGAGCCACAACGTAACAGGGGGTGCCCATATGAACAATATTATCATTAGCAATAAATACGAAACGGGGCTGAATAACGACGGCTTTGATGACGACCAATGCGATTACATCGTGAAACCCAATGAGGTACTACTTCAAAATTGTCAAATTCGATTAGTTTTTGCTATGCCTTTTTCGAGTTTTGTGTTCATCGTAATTTGTATTGTGGCTTCTGTCACCCCTATTTTGTTTTTTGATACAGAATCATGGGCTCCTTCATCCCCTTCGAAACATTCGAATTTTCTAAAGTTATTTTTTTTTAGCTGGCATTGTCCGAAGGTTATGACATGCAGACCAATTTGGCAAAGACAAACATATTCAATCTTTGTACTTAAACTTGTGAAACTACTCTGTACATCATAAAATTGATACCCATGAGAGGTGGGGGAACGAAAAGAGCTTAATTTTTTAAATATCGGGATAGGCATATCTGTATGTCCAAAGTTTATGAATTTAAATTTGACTGAGTCTTCTGTTCAAGAAAACTATATTTGGAGACACTCGTTTTTTTTCTTTATCCAGGTATGGATGGACCGATACGAAATTGAAGCTTCAATCGGCAAAGGCTCGTTCGGCCAGGTTGTGCGCGCATACGACAGACTAGAGCAGGAGTATGTGGCTATTAAGATCATCAAAAACAAGCGCATGTTCCTGGAACAGGCACAGATCGAAGTGCGACTCCTGGAAATGATGAATAGAGCTGATAGGTCTAATAAATACTACATAGGTAACGTCACACTGCACTTTCTGTTCAAGTTCCCCCAAGATGTTTAGGGGGGGGGGGGTTAACTAGACTCTATGCTAAATTGGTTCTACGTTAGTTTTTTAAGTTATCCAAAATCGAGCATTTAATACACAATGCTTAGCAAATTTAATCCAATTTTTATGCTTGCGTGGAGGATCTTTACTTCATCTATTTGTGGGGGTAAATTTAAATTGATCCCAGTATGTTTTCTATTTACTGTTCCGACCATTTGAAAAATGCGAAAGAATTTTGTATCCAGGTGTGTTTTAGTTTTTTGTTTTCCACGCAAAATTAGGTACCACAAATAATCGTTAAAATCCACGTAATCATTTCACTATGACTGTAGAATATGCTTAAGGTCTATTTTTCGTTCAGATCTTTTCAATCACACCACGCAGAAAAAACGACACTAATTTGAAAACACTTTTTTTTTGTATTTTTAAGACTATGGTTGGAACATTCTGTGCTACTTGCACAATAACCGGCTATGCTTGTTTTCTAATTGTATTTGTCTCTAAAGATTTCGTATTTGTGCTGATTATTCTGACGCTGGTCTTCGAGGTCCATTTTGAATACTGAGAAATATGGGTGCTCTGCGTTACAAGAAATATTATACGCTGTAATTTTATTTCATAAAAATTCATTTGAATGAGAAATCAAGAGCACTTTTATGCAACAATTCAATAATACCGACACAAAAATTTGCCAAAAAAATTGCTGCTGAAACTTTCGTGATTTTTCTTAAATTTTGTTTTTTTTTTTTTCGTTCAGCTTGAAGCGAAGAATATTGTTTGTGTGTATTTGCAGTGACATTAAAGCGGCACTTTGTGTTTCGCAACCACCTCTGTCTCGTGTTCGAACTGCTATCCTGTAATCTGTACGAGCTACTGAAGAACACCCAGTTCCACGGCGTCTCCCTCACCCTCACTCGCAAGTTCGCCACCCAACTGCTCACAGCCCTCCTCTTCCTCTCCTCCCCTAGTCTGTCCGTCATCCACTCGGACCTGAAGCCCGAAAATATTCTCCTCTGCAACCCGAAGAGAAGCGCAATCAAAATCATAGACTTCGGATCATCGTGCCAAATTGGACAGCAGGTAATTCCTCTTCTTTTTTTTTACAGAATTATATATTTTTGCAATAATTGGCTTCTTTTTTTGGTTCTGTATATAAGATTATATTTTATCTAAGTAGTTTGTCTAGGTTATGTTTTTGTCCATGGAGACGCCGCGCGACAGGGTAATGCTTTTGGTCCTCACCCAAGCCGAAATATATTGTAATTGTACAATTTATTGACTAATGTATTGTTATAAATTTGTATGCAATAAGCTGTTATTAAGAGACGATGAACGTAGTTCAGACTCATATATAGGTGCTGATGCTGTTTTTTTTTTCGTTTTTTTCTTTCAAATTTTTTCTTGCAAATTTCACATTTTTTCTTGCAAAATTGTGTCTATTTGTATTTGGTGCCACTTTTGCTGAATTGTTTTGGCAATTTAAGAGCATATGTAGCATGTTTATTCGTCAATAGTGTTTGTCGTTAGTTAAGCGGGCGTGGATGATTACTTGGGTTCATTAACTTTTTTCCAACCGTCTGTTGGCTCTTTTTTAATTTGTACGTAATATGGTTCATGGTCATACAAAATTTGTAGTTACCTGATTTCTTATTGTATTTCAGTATAATTGTGTACAGATAGCGTACCAAGTCATGCTAAGGCTTTTTTCTCGCATTGGGTAGCAAACATCTATCTTATGTTTAGACTGGCCTTTTGCTCTACATTTATAGACTGGCCTAAAAGTCATTGTTTGGTCTAACATTTTCAAAAAAACTATATGCTTTTAGGCTCAACAATTTTTTCAAATCTAAATCTTACTACCTATTCGAGTTTATGTTCTCCAATTGTCTAAACCTAAAAGTTTTTGAACGCATGATTTTTTTTCACAAACTTTGAGGCGTTGTATTACGGTCTATGAAAGTATATTTTTAGAGCAGATTCTAGTGACTTGGCTTTCTAGTTTGAATATAAATTAACTTTTTGTTCTGTGATTTCAGTGTTTCCAGTACATCCAGTCGCGCTTCTACAGGAGTCCCGAGATCCTGCTGGGTATCCGGAACTACGACACAGCTATTGACACCTGGTCATTAGGCTGCATACTAGTCGAGATGCACACGGGCGAACCACTGTTCCCCGGACAGAACGAAGTTAGTATTCAGCCGAAAAGATTTATTTGATCAAAATGAGAAGTAGATTTTATTCGAGGGTGCATTTTATTTATCACAAGTAATTCGGAGCTCCGCTTTATCGTTGTTTCAAAAACAATGGTATTTGGTAGTTTTTGTCAAGATAACTTTTATCAAATTTTTTTTTGCAAAAGTGAATAAAATATTTGATAGACTATTGCAATAAAAGCATTCTTGTTTATATAACTGTTATTGTGGTTATTTTAGAATCAATTACGTAATGCTATGTGGTTTTGATGGATAGAAAATGTGGACTTTTCGGATTGTTTTGAGATCTCCGGAATGTGCTCCGTACTTAGATTTCGAGAATTGATTTTTTATTTAGTTGTTTAGTAGTAATAGTTGTTATAAAATTGTTTGTAATATAGTTTTACTAATGCATTTAATTAGTGGAAATAAAAATAAAACAATTTTGTCATTTCAGTATGACCAGATGAACAAGATTATAGAAGTGTTGGGTCTGCCACCTCGACATCTTCTAGAGCAGGGGACTAAAGCGAAGCGCTACTTCGACCAGCACCCGGATGGATTGTACCATCTGAACAAGAAACACAAGGACCACAAAAAGGTATTTACTCTTACTTTCTGATCAAGTATTACATCATCAACCGAGAATCAGCTCAGTTTTACGAGCGTTTGAAGAACTATTGCATTCAATATTAATAGTTCGAGTCCCTCATATACGTATGTATTTATATCTTTATATACGTATGTATTTATATAATGTTTCCGAGGATTGAAACACGAATACCAAAAGGGTACTTACTGCTTTCTGTTACGTCATTAAGAATGAAATCATCGATCGAGAATCAGTTCATATTTAGGAGCGGGTGAAGAATTATTGCATTCAGTATGAACATTTCGAGATCCTTTACATCCATATGTTGCTGTAGCATGTTTCACAAATGGTTTGAAAATAATTGCATTGATATTTTTCCGATGTTCGTAAACTGTATCTTCTATAATATGAGCTTTTACAATTTGGTCTTAATAGTTCATGTTTTGCGTTTGTGTATTAAGGAGTACAAGTTGCCTGGCACGAGAAAGTTGCACGATGTGTTGGGAGTCGAGACCGGGGGTCCCGGGGGTCGGAGGAAAGACATGCCAGGACACTCTGTAGCAGATTACACCAACTTTCAGGTCAGACTTATTTTTAAAAATCTTTTCATGATATATGCGTTCAATTTGGTCAAATTTTGAGTGGTTTCAATTGTTATATAGTGTTTTCTTTTGATTCGATTCGAAAATGCAACGGGTTCAAAAATGAATGAGTTCGAAAAATGCAACAGGTTCAAAAATGCAACAGGTTCAAAATGCAACGGGTTCAAAAATGCAACGGTTTCAAAAATGAATGGGTTCGAAAAATGCAACAGGTTCAAAAATGCAACGGGTTCAAAAATGCAACGGTTTCAAAAATGAATGGGTTCGAAAAATGCAACGGGTTCAAAAATGAATGGGGAATGGGTTCGAAAATGCAACAGGTTCAAAAAAATGAAAACAAAAAAGGACTTCAGTGGCGAAAGAAAATCATTCTTTGCTTGTAACAGAATAAGTTTGTGTTGTAGGATCTGATTCTGCGCATGTTAGAATTTGACCCCAAGCAGAGACTGAAACCGCTAGATGCACTCAGTCACAAGTTCTTCAAGAAGATGAGCGACGAGAGCACGAACACTGCGGCTGGAGTATCTTCTTCAGCTGTCGCAGGCTCGGTTATCCCCAATGTCCAACAGCAACACAACCACCTCCCAACGTCCCCTCAACAGGTAGGTCACAATAGTTGAAATTATAATGGACGATTTTTTCCATAGCTTCTCCTGCCTCCGGCTCTTTTCCAGTTTCCCCCTTTCAAAATACCTAGTTTTATGTTTGTTTTACGTGTTATTACGGCTAAATGCGTGATGTTACGCTGTGAAGTATGAAGAACAAATCTGTTCACAGCTGTCGATTTGTTCACAAAGCCAAATTTCATTGCATTATGACAACGTTAAATAAGCTTTTCAAAATCGAATTTGAAAGGGGGTACTGGAAAAGAGCCCTGCCCCGTAATGGCAAAATAATTATAAGCGTATCAGGTTATTTTGCAAGTCAAATGGCAAGCTTCACTATGCTTAGCTGAAGATAAAGATTATTTCATTAGCTGACGACAAAAATGCCCTTTTTTGCCCTCGGCTATTTTCGTAAAAAATTTTTGGTCGCTGAAGGAAAGCTTGCACAGTTGTCAATTGTGGTATAATTTGTCTCAGTGTTGAGAAAAATGTTATTACACGAGCCTAGCAAAAAAAATGAAAATGTTATTAAAGAGCTTTAAGGCCATCTATTTTTTCCTTCGAAATTCAAAAGTCGGTTTTGTTTCGTTTCCTTGCGTTCATTACTCTTTTCCAACTGTCAGTTGGCTATGTTTTAAAATTTTTAGTTTTTGCTCTTATTTCGAGCTATCAAAGCGAGCGAGCAAGCTTATGATGCGCAAAAAAGACCTAAAAACTAACTTTTACTCCACAATATTTATTGTTTGAAGGTTATTTTAGCACCTATTTGAAAACTCTACAAAAATTTGAAATAAATTAACGATATTTTTTGACGATTAACTTTTTAATGAAAACCATTGTCAGATATGCGTATATTACTGGTACTACCGAGTTTTCGAGGCTTTCGTTCAAATCGTTCGTAGCCAAAAAAATGATGTTTTTTGTGGTCGGAACTTTCTGTGCTACTTGCACTGCAATCGTTCGTTGCAAAAAAATGATGTTTTTTGTGGTCGGAACTTTCTGTGCTTCTTGCACTGCAATCGTTCGTAGCAAAAAAATGATGTTTTTGTGGTCGGAACTTTCTGTGCTACTTGCACTGCAATCGGCTATCCTTGTTTTTTATTGGCTGAATTTTGAAATTTTTTCTACAAAGCTGTAATGCGAAACCCATCCCTCCCCCCCCCCCTACCTACCCTCCCACCTCAGGTGAGCATCAATTTTTTAGTGTAACGAGTGGTTTTACAAGGTTGGTTATGAAGACCGAATATGTTTGTCATAGCCTAATTAGTCTGTATGTCAATTTTCGTACCAATCGGACCATGTGAACAATAATTTTGGCTCTTTTTCAGTCCCCCTTTTGGTTTTTTTCTGAAATTAAATATATGGAAATCAATTTAAAATGTCTTTTCTCAAAATAAACTGCATTAAAACGTGTCAGCGTGAACAAATTCTTACAACATTTCTTGCATGCAAAATGCCGTGTGAACAATTTTTAAACAGCTTAATTTTAAATTTTCCGAGGGGTGTGGGAAACTGGAAAAGAGCCATAATTTTACTTCTAAAAACTTGCAGGTGGCGAAAAAGCCCGAAAAACTGATGACATGGATTTCTCAAAGATAAATATTTAAGTTTGTTTAGATCATATATGTCAAAAATAAGGTAACGATCTATTATATTAACGAGAAATGGCTTGCACCAAAATTGCTTCAAAATGTGCAGAAGTTGCTTCAAAGTATGCAAAGCTATCATTTTATTCATTTTGCTGTCTGTATCAGCTTTTTAATTGATTACATGTTAATGAAAGAATGGGTTTTCAATAATTAAAGCCCATGTGTGGTTATGGCATTCGGTAATTTCGCACGCCGTTTTTAATTTGGCGCTTTAAATTTAAATTAATTTTATGTTCGCATTGTAATTCATTGGTTTATTGCAATAAGAATTACACTCTTCAGTTACAAAAAAAGTTTTAAAAGTGGAATGATGTTCCAGACTTCTCAAATTGGCTTAGATTTGCCACAAAAATCTCCACAAAATGTCTGCTTGTTCGTCTGCGTATTTTTTATCAGCTGAATTTCCAAAGCATGGAATTTATTTCTGATTTGAACAATTCTTACATCAATTGACAGTCGTCTTGTTATCAGTCGTCAGTTTACCAACTCGGATTTTGATTTTTTTAAAAAATTTTGTTCGCTGAAAATGGTAATGTTTTATGGTTGATAGGCGTAGTCACCTTAAGTTCGGTTTTTTGAAGAGCGAAACTTGATTATTGTTTTTTAGGAGTCGATGAACGTGATTCAGACTCTTATACAGTTCGAACTGATTTTTTTCTGTCTTAAATTTTGTTCAGGCCTCGAATTTATTTTTTCGCGGCTGGAAGTTCCTTTTAAGTTCAGTTTATTTTCGTTGTTAAAAGGAAGGCAAACTCCACTATCGAACAGCAAAGGTGCAAGGGTCGCGAAAACGTGATCGATTTCTAGTTTCGAAAGTGACAATTTTCTGTTGGGAATGCTTTATCAAAGTGGACTAGTTTTCATCAGAAATTGTCCATAATAAAAGGTTCCTTAAAATTAAACCTCGGTAACATCAACAATCTGCTTATTCAATGAAGTCGAAAGTTGACAATTTGTCAACAAATCAGTAGTAAAAATTTTGGGGATTTATGAAATAAGACGATCAGAAAGTAACGGAATTTCAACAATAACTCGCGTGCAAATTGCGTGAAATTTGTTTACAGACTTAAATTATTTTTTGGCTGAGTAAATATTGGTTGTCCGTAAATTCTGTTTCTTTACGGTCGTCTAATTTGCTTGTCGTCTAATTTCCTAGGCCCCTATGTTTTGTACAATTTGTTAATATGTTCATCAATCTGATGTTTTTGTTTTCGTTAACTAATTAGGGGGGTACTGCACAGGTGTCATCATCAACTGACCCAAGAGTGCAACACTCGGCACTTCTAGCTGGAATCGCCACCAACATTCACCCCCAGTCAGGACTGACTGCTGGGGTCGGAGGAGGGGGTGGGGGTCTGCACGTGACTATGCAGGGCAGGAGGGCATCGGGAGGTTTAGGGGGAGGAGGAGGGATGCAAAATACAAACACAAGTGCCATTGAGACGAAGCCATTGTTCGATTTCAATATTCAAGTAATTTTTTTTTTGGTTTTTCCCTTTCCTTCTACAATGCAAATTTTCCATGTTCTTAACACTTATGTATGCGATTATGGCTAAGTGCGTGATTTCTTGTTATAAGGTACAAAGAACAAAACTGTTCGCAATAATTGATATCTTAACCATGCAAAACTTCATAAAACTAGACAAGTAGCTTTCCAAAATTGAAATTCAATAGTCAGTGCAAAGTGGAAAAGAGCCGCATTTTTGCAAAAAAAATTGCTAACTGATTTTCGCATAGGAATTTTATTTCGATTGAGAAACTAATGAGAAGAATCAAAGTTCTGATATCAGTGTTTTTACTCTAGATCAAGAATGTTCGATCAAGAATTTACAAAAAAAAATCAAGTACATCATGCTGAATTTGAATTGTGGACTGAACAATAAATTATTTGCTTATCAAAATCAAAAGAAAAAAGTTGTTTAATCTTTGTGGTGTTGAATTCGTGGCTATAAAATAGTGGCCTTTGTATTTTCAAAAGTCTCAAATTTTGTCTTAACCATTTGATGAGTTCTTTCAAATTATACGTTTAGAAAACAAAGCATAACATTTATCAAAAACACAAAGCATGATTAAATATATCTTGACAGCTGGAATTATCGCATGATTTTTTTACCCTTGAGGCTATTTTCAGACTTTTTATTAAAAAAGGAAAGCGAGCTTCATAGCTACTGGCCTTTCGATTAAGATTTTCAAAAACTTTTTTGTGGACTAGTGATTGTTAACACACCCTCGCAAATCGTTAAGACGATAGTTTGATGTTTAGTTCCTCCGAACGAGCAGATACGTCGGCGGGATTCGAACCACCAGCCGTTTTTTTGTTCGCTCTTCAAAATAATTATTTTTCTTGTGCTTTAGGCTTCAGCAAGACATCAAGACGTAGCTTTGTCTCCCTCGTCTGCAAACTTCAGATCGCCCGGAAATAAAATGTCGTCATTGGCCAAAATGGGAATAGGAAACGTGCCTAATGCGCTGGGCGCCTCGTCTGAAATCATCCTCGCCTCTGATCAGCATCAAAGCAGCTCTGTAGTCGCGCCGAACGGAGTTCTAGTCTCGCCGATCTCGGCATCTAATGTAAATGCGGCCAAAATGCAACAGTTTTTCATCGACCGAGGGGATAATGGTCTTTCCATGAACACTTTAACCCACTCAGGAACAAATTTACCCGGCCCGGTAAGTGAGAAGAAAACGTAAAATTTGGGAAATAAGAATTTCAGTAAAAACTATCACGCTTTACTAGCATGAAGAATTGATGAGCGCGCAATCCAACTCGAATGAAGTAGTGTTCATTTTGGAATACACTTTTGCTGCATACTATTGGCAGTTAATAGCATGTGTTCTTCGCTCAATGAGTGGCTAGTGTTTTGGATCCCGTTTCAGATCCCGCTTTTATTTCAAAACTCTTTTCTGTCTTTTTGAAGCTACTTCATGGCGTTTAATCGCGTGTATGAGGAACGTGCAGCTTCGCCTCTGCATAAAGTTAAATTTTTGCAATTTAGGTGGGAAATAACCCGTCATCTTTTCACGTTGCCTACGCGAAACAACAGCAGCACATGGTGCAATCAGTCGTTCCTCCGGGACACACGCAGAGCTTCTCCAACATAGTGCTCGGAAGTCCACACGCGCAGAATAGTATAAACCATATGTACATGCAACAACCCTCGCAGCAGATACATGCGTCTTCTGGTGGATATAAGACCCTAGATAAGCAACAACAGAGCCATATGCAGATGGCAGGTAGTAGAATCAGTCATCCAGCTACGGTTATTCTAGCCGGCCCTGGACCCTCGGGAGATTCGAGTAATCGTTCTATATTGGGATCGCCTGCAAGCTCAAATTTAGTCAGCGCAACATCGCTGACTCTTTTAAACCATAATAACCCCCATTCTCACACACAACTCCTCAATTCACCCTCGCAATCTCACCAACTCATAGGAACTACGAGTCTGGGAACCATCACCGGGGCTCCTGGAACTGGCTCTGGATCCTACATCTTAGCACCCTCTGTTGGTCCTGGCAAGACCTCGATGCAGGGATCCGCGACTGCGTATACGATAGACCCGTCATCAGCGACAGCCTTGTACCTTCTAGAAACTACCGCCACTGGCGCCCAGCCTAGTATGAGCTTAAAGCCAACGGTCATGAGTCATACGCACCAACCGCATGCATCAGCAGCAGGCAGCAAGTGAAAGCATTGTCGATTAGAAACGGTGATGGATTGAAGTATGCTGCGGAGAGCTGGAAATAGAAAATGCGTGTAAAAATTATGGTGCTCTGAATGCTATTTTGAATTTGTATTGTCATTTACACAGTTTTGTTCGCGAGTTTTAAGTTAGCTAGCTACTCTTCATTTGAAAGTTTCAAGGAACACAATAAAAAAGAAGTCAATGCAGGCAGTGCAGAATTGGAAGTCTCCTCGGTGCCTCGAAAGCTGTAAGAGATATACACGGAAGTGAGATCAGCCCCAAGTTTAGACCGAGTTTTCGCTTTCCTGGTCTCTGAATGTAAAATGGTTGCACGGTTTTGGTTCTGCTGAACTTCGCGCTGCCTGTGAACTTTTGCATGGACAGAAACCAAAAATGCCAGAAGTTTGGGTACTCGAAGAAGTCGGGACTAAGAAGTTTGAATTATAACGAAGAAAACGCAGGTGTTGTTCGAGTGTTGCGGCGATATCAAGGAGCAACTGAAAGCTTTGGGGTCCAGAAAAACAGTTTATCAGAATTGGAGAGAAATTTTGTGCAACTGTAGTGTTCTGTACTTTTTGGAAGTGTTCGTTCAATTTTAATGTTTTATTCGGACGGTCAGTCGTCGTGGATGCATTGTTGTTTTAATGAAAAATAGTATCAAATACATATACCTTCATTTGCAAGTTGTAAAATAGCTTAGATATTTCAATTCTAATTCAATTTTTCACCTTTGCGAAATCTTACAGCTTAATCTTGCAGTCTAAGCCATTGTTGAATTGAGAAAACACTGCTACTGAATGCGTGATGCGTATTTTTTTTGACCGCAGCGAGGGAAGGAACTTTGAGTCTAGGTGTTTATCAGTAAAAATTGTGTAGAACTGCGAGAATCATTTTGATGTTAAGTGCAGGGTGACCACTTGGTCACTTTTTTGTGTTTTTTAAACATTTTAAAAGTTTTTCTTAAACATTTTAAAGTTTTTTTAAAACATTTTACTGTTGCATTCATGAGTAATCCAATAAAATCTGTTCAAAAAATCCACTTTTTTATGAGACAACTAGGATGCTATAGCTATTTTACGTATAAAAAGAACAGGTCACTTTTTTTCTAGGTCAAAGTGGTCACCCTGGTTGAGTGATGTCGGTTGATAAACGAAAATCAATAAGAGTACTAGCAATAAAACATGACAGGTAAAGCAAAGTAGTTAACGATATCAGCATTGAAGCGGGCGGCTTTAATGTAATTTAATTGAACACTAAAAGTCTCTTCTGAAATTCAAGTTTTTCGACACAGTTATAAATCAACAAAAATTTCAAAAATCAAAATATAATTTATTTTGAAGGAAAATATGTTGAAGTTATAACAAATTCCTAGATAGCATCAGCTCTAAATTACATCTAATAAATTGTGTGTACAGAAAAAAAAACAAAAGAAAAAGTTTTTCCCGTCATAAAATTGCTAAAATTGGCATTATCTTGAAGGCAAACCGACGTAAATTTATGGTTAGGATATTGTAACAAAAATATCATAAAAATTCGGCTTATTCAAAAATGGAGGTTTATCCAAAAAAAGGATGTGTTAATGAATGAAGTGATTTAATCGTTCATTTAGTTCGTGTGGAATTTCGGGTTTCTTACAAAAAATTCCTATTTTTTAGTTCTCACTTTAATATTTCGCGATTTGACTCATGGCTTTTTTGGGTTCTTTTACAATACTTTTGCCAAGTTAAAGGAAGGCAAAATTACGGTATCCAATGACAAATATGCAAATGACTCTATAAACGTCAATTATGTTCGAAATTGTATTTTAATTTTCATAAAAAATTATAAAATTTTAAATAATAAAAATAAACTAATGAATGCCTTACAGAAAAGTTGTATGAAAAATGTGTCAATGAAAAAACTATTTGAAAATCCAAGAGCTACAAAGAGATATATTTATTTTTTTAGATTTCGAAAGTTCGAAACGTCCGAATAAAGTAAATCTTTAGCTTTTGGTTTCCTTGATTTGATTGTCTCTTTTCCGCATGTCTGCTGGGTTCAAATTGCAATGAAAATTTCTGAAACTGTATTCCACGTGCCGACAAAAATTCATCCATTTTTTGAAAGGTCATCGGATACATTTAGATCAAGGTGTCTCTTTTATTCTTCTTCTTCTTGCTTCAGGAGGCCCTGGTCAGTGATCCGCACTGATATGGGAACGCCCCATCCTTCTGAGGTATGTGAACAGGTATCCGGGGTTGTTGAATAGGCTTTCCATGTCGTCATCTCGTCCGGTCAGTTCGTGTCGTATGTGGGCGCCTCGTTGGCAGCTGAGTATATGGTTTACGGTGTCTGGCTCTCCATAGTCCAGGCAGCCGGGGTCTTCGATGGCCCCAAATCTGGCCAGGTTAGCTCTGGATAGTGAGGAGTGGCCCGTTCGTAGTTGGTTCCACGTGACCTCTTCCCATCTGTTGAGGAACTTCTTCGGGCGATTTTTCATGGTAGTTGCCCAGTTTTGGAGGTACCTCTTGTCCTTTAGTCTTCGCTCTTTCTTGATGACGGCTTTGGCCGTGTTGAGTGTCAGTGGGCGTATATCCTGGGCGAGGTGAGTTGCCTCTCCGGCTGCTACGTCTGCGCACTCGTTCCCTTCGAGTCCGCAGTGTGCGGGGACCCAACGAAAGTGCAACGCCCAATCTTCTCAACCGCCTTCCATATGGTGATGCCGCAGTTGGTGTCTTGACCCTCTGGGCCTGTCGCTAGTTTGCTGAGCGAGGAGAGGGAATCAGTCATGCAGTACCCTCTAGGAGGTGTGACGGATTTGCCTTCCTTCAGCAGCGTCTCTTGGAGGAGGATAGCGAGGGGTTTGTGGCGGTGGATCCAGTTCTTCAGCTCCGTCATGCGCGCCATCAAACCGTTGCAGTTGATTTGGGCTATCTTCCTCTGTTGGTTCATCGAGGTGTTTGCCTCTGTTTGTGTGTGGACAGTGGGTGGCGGTTCCTCGATGGTCGGCGGAATGGGTTTTGATGGGTCGGGGCCCGGCACCGGCTGTGCCTCTTCTTGCGGTGTGTCAGCGACATTGTAGAACTCCCTACATTTGAGACACACAAAGTCCCTGTTGTGTTGCGAGGTATCAGGAAGTCCTGAGCACTTGAGATGCACCCATCTGCATCCCCATCTGTGGCACCAGACACTGCTTGATCTTCCCAGGTTCTTCGCACAGGAACCGCATTTGGTGGGTCACGGGTTTGTTTCTATGCCAGCCATGATCAATAGGATGATCAGTAAGGTGAGGGGTAGCGTCGCTGGCTTCGGCCACCTCCTAGCTCAAAAAACGTCCCGGAACGTTCGTTGACCCCATCTGGGTGGATCCTGGATTGGAGATATTCTGTCGCCAATGTTGCCATTGGCTTCTAAAGGCACGACGTGTACGTGATATCCTTGCCTCCTCTCTTTTATTCTGGAGTATATGGTCACTGTAGAATATATGACTTTTTATATATGCTATCTTTTCTCCTGCTTTGAGCTTTGCCCTTCTCACATTCGATTTTTTTTTCTATTGTCTTCTAAACAATGGTAGCTAAGGTCAGAGTTTTCGATAGTTTTTACAAAGCAACCAGTTGCTCTTTTGGTATTACAATTCTCAGTGCAATTGCTTTTTAAACTTACGAGAGCAAGTGAATTGCTATCTGTATTAAGGCCTTTTCCCATTAACATATTTTCTGACAGGTCTCGGGTTCGAGTCCCGGCTAGAACTTGTTTTCTTTCTCTCTCTCTCTTTGTATGTTTAACTTTCTTTTTTTTGCAACCCCGACCCCTGAAAGTTTCAATTTGTTCAAAAAAATTCAATCAGTTACTTGGAACTTCAACTAACTTGCTCATGTTTTTATTGAAATTTTGATTTTTTTGGTGTTGGGTTGTCGACAATTTTCGTCGGCTCATTTTCCTTCTGTTTCAAATTCCATTTTTTGAAAACAAATGAAAAATGAGCCAAAAGTAATAACTAGTACAGCGTGGTATTTACAAATTAGACTACCTGGCTCATATTGGGTAGTAATCAAAATTTTGAATGAAACTTTCGTTTTTCTTGTTTTTTGGTTCAGTTTTCTGGGGCTATGTTTTTAGTTTTTCAAGAGTCGATGATCGTAGTAAAGGCTCTAATATAGGTTTTAGTGATTTTTTTTGGTTTTCTACCAGAAAAAAGTTAGAATTTTTTCACGCTCAAGTTTGATTTTTCGCCGTTTGACTTTTGATTGCTATTTAAGCTCAGTTCATTTCCGTTTTTAAAAGCAAAGCAAACGTCACTATCGACAGCAAAAGTGAAAAGGGAACAAAATACGTGATTGTCTTCTAGTTTCGAAATTGGTTTTAGTTTTCAGATTTCCCAGCGGAATCAAAACTTCATCTAATGATCCAGTTTTCTCAAGATGAGTTAGTTTTACCTCTAACGGTCATATTTTTTAAACTTGGAATTTCGATTTTCTTTCTGTTTCCTTGCGTTCGTTGACTCTTTTCCAACTGCTCATTGGCAGAATGTTTGAAATGCCAACTGTATTATTAAAAACAGCGTAGTTTTACAGAGTTTTTAATCTGAGAATATTGGATGTTCGTCAAGTATCTAGTTTTTTTAAATCAATTCTGGAATTTTAATGGATTTCTTTAACGAAATTTCTTAGAATCTAAAAACTTTCCAGGTTTCGTAGTGGAAAAGAACTATTGTTGAGGCTCAGATATTTTTAGCCGATTTTGATTATCTCAAAGAACGCTCATAACGAATTGTTGTAATTTTAATGAAGGCCATTCATTTCTGATTCAGGATTCTAATGTTTTTTTTTTCAAAAAATTGTCTCCTTGAGATAAAATAGCTTTGACTCAAAAATTCAAACTAAACTTGACTTGAACTTCGCTTAATTCTGGTAAAATTATTAGGTTATTTTAGCTGCAATTACATTTTATTCTGGTAGTTTGATTTAACGTGCTTTATCGCTCGTTGCCAAAAACAAACAAACGGAAGTTTAAAACAAGGATAGCCCGCTGCTGTTCAAATAGCACAGAATGTTCCGACCATATTTAAAAAAAAACTACAATTTTTTTTAGTATTTGGTCGTTTTGTGTTTTTGGCGTGATGTGATGAGAGAACCTGAACAGTAGCGAGTGTTTGGGAGTAAAATAAATTTGGGGGCTGGACAATAGTTTTTCACTTAAAATATACTAAAAATAAAAAAATCCAGAATTGTTTTGAAACTTGTTCGCCAATTTTTGCAATTTTTTTGGGTCATTCCTAAACTTTCACTCCCTTAAAGGAGCTAAAACGATTCTCGATAACTTATTTCGTTTGAATAAAACTATCCAAAAAAAAGTTTTTAAAAATTGAAGTTAACGATTAATTATAAATTATCGCTCGAAATTTAACGAAAAAAACTTCAAACCGGTTTTCTCGACACTGCGATTTGTTTTGGAGTTTTTTCAATGTCAGTCGAATCACGACTGAAAAGTCTTTAAAATGATATATCACTCAATTTATCCCGATGATTATTTGTGGTACTTGATTTTGTTCAGAAAAAACTTAAACGCAGCCTTTTTAATGGTCGGAACAAGAATTTTTTGTGCATTTTCTCATTTTTAAATTTTCTTTTTTTATAAATTACTGCAATCGTATCGTTTTCTGCTACTTGCATTTCAACCTTATATCCTTGCTTTCTTTTTTTCATCATTAGCATTGATTTTTGCATCGAAAGTTTTGCTAAGTTTCGTTCTAAGAATCTCTGTGTACTGCTGAATTGCTATTTGCCATTCAATATCATGTTCATCCGCTTTATTGTTGATTATCGGTTTTCACTGCTAAAGTGGTGTAACGAAATAAATCAACTATGCAATATGGAGCAGTTCGTTCGAAGTCTGTAGCCAGCTAGTTCTTTTTTTAAATCTATTTTCTCTGACTTCTTTTTGATTTTTTCTCAGTTAAAAAATCTTTTTTGTAATTTTTGGTTGAGTGTTTGTGAAGTTCAGCTTCGCCTCTGCATCAAGTCTCTCGTTTTCTACATCAAACTCACTTTGCATTCTTTATTTTCGTAGCACAGTTTTTCGCGAACTTTAAAATGCTGTATAGAGCTAGCGAGGCAGCTGGGGACAGTATTTAAGAAAAGTTAATCTTCCACTGAAGGTCTTTGCAGTTGTAGTCGGGTCATCGTGCTGCTAGAAGCGGGCGCTGTTCAAAATCAAAGTGAAATTAGCATCTCAAGATTTTAATTGGTTCAAGTTTCATGGAAATTTTGGTTCTTTTTCGGCTTTTTCAGATTTTTTCAACTTATTGACTTTCATCTTTTTTTTCTGTCGGCTAGCTTGCGAGGCTATGCTTGTGTTGTATATCAAATGGTCCGAAACTCCGCTTCGCCTCTGAGGTCTTAAATCGCTTTTTTTTCTGTGTAGGTATTTACTAATAGTCCATGTGATTTTTTCGTATTTTTTCTTGGCGGCTCGTCCGTTTATTTTATAGCACATTAATTTTTTTTGCCAAATAAGAGGCAATTTACGTTCTCCAAAAACAAAATTGGAAATGGGCTTCGCGCTTGACTAAATTTTTAAAACTCTATTTAAATTGTAAGAATGTATAGTCGAATGAAAGATTACCTATGCATCAAGTTTTCTTAAAGTGATCAAGTTTGAAAAAGTTTCAATCATGAAATGTGCTTCAAATACAAAGAGTTTTAATATTGCTCATTCTTTTTCGACAGCTTAAAAATTGAAATTTTTTATAAATCAGATAATTTTTTAGGTACACTTGTGTGCACGAACACTTTCATTTCTCTGTTTCTGCCATTTGATTCATTTTCTCCATTCTTTCTTCGCTAAGATCTAAGGCTTATCAATTTGCTCTGAGGTTACAATTTACATTTATTTTAATGTAGTCTTTAACGTTAACAGTTTTTTTTTGAAAATTCAATATATTAAAAGCTAATGCTTTGAAAAGTACCGTGGCCGATTTTTTTTGGAAAAAATTTTTAGAGGAAAGTCGCGGTGAAAAGCAAAGTCATTTGATATTTTTCAAAACTTTTTTGGCTGTTTTAATGGGTTAATGATGTGTATATTTGTGAGTTCGTTTTGTAAGTTTCAGTTTCAACGGTGTCGAAAAAAGCGAAGAGAACAAGATTTGCTAAGATGTTTTTTTCTGACTACAGGCAACCGGTGCTGGTCGTGCATCAGAAGTGTTGCTGACTGACCACGGCTTGCTTGAAAATAAAGTCTGCCAGCAGCATTTTGTAAACGTTGTAACTTACAAAGGAGTAGGTTTGGCAGTGTAATATAGAATGTGAAAGTAGCGCAATTGTTTTTCTGGCATCAAGTTTGATGGATAGACCATTTAAAAAGACTTCCTATGAGCCGATTGATGTTTATCACAAAAATGATATCATTGTTTGACTGCTATGATCCGCTTGGTAATTATAAATTCAAATCCAATCAACCATCTGGCGTAGAGGTAAAACAACTGCCTGAGATGGCAAAGAGCTGCGGTTCGAATCCGGGCGGTTTTTCAACTTATAGTTTCCGTAGCTCGACGGTTCAGCTTTATTCATCGAATTATACCAAATTTATCGTGTTTTGAAGTTTTTTGAAAAATTTTTGATAAAAAGAAATGTCAATTTTTGCTCAAAAACTCTTACCATTGACTTACCATGTACCAAAAAAACTAAATACATAACCCTAATTCCACAACCTACACGTAATTAACCTTTGATATTTAACAATTAGATAACGGGCGCCGAAGTTTTTGCGAAAAAAACTAGACATTTCCACACAAAATCCAAAAAAAATCGTTTTTCTTACCATTATCTTACCATCACACAAACCATAAAACCTTACCATTGGTGTTCCCTATCTCAATACATTGTTGACTCTCTACTCAATCTTAATATATAGCTGGGTGACCGGATGATCTATTTGAGACGCCAAAGCCCGGTAGTTCGATTCCAGTTAAGACTTGTTTTTCTTGCGAATAGAAAATTTTGGCTAATTTAGGTTGTTATCTGTCTGCTTATTTTTGTCTGCTTAGTGTCGCAGAAAGGAGTGTTTTCAAAAACGTGGCTTCTGTATAGCATTTCTAAAGCTCTGTGTACTGTGCACTGTATATTTTGGGCTTTTGTTGCAATGGTTATTGACAAAAACGAGTTTCTGAATTTTTCCGTTTGATTTTCATAATGTTCATATTTGTATCGCAAATTGTACGAAGCTCAACTTCGCCTCTGTGTCAGAAAATGTCAATTTTAACAAATAATACACCAATTTTTAGTTGAAAACAATTTTTAAACTTTTTGCGCGATTTTTTGGAGTTTATACTTCTCTTCATTTTTTTAAGCTGCGAGAGAGGCCCACTTTAATATAGTTTTGGCAGTGTTCGACAGGGTAGTTTTGGCGTAAATTTTGATTGACTAAAAAGTCAAAAATTTAAGGCACGAATTTTGTTCGCAAAACAAATTTTACCAAATTAATACTGCAAAAATTCAAAGCAAGTTTCGTCGTCGCTGTTTCTCACCAAAAGTCAACCCAATTTGAGAAAAACGCGTTTTAAGTTTCAAGTCTTGTGCGTTTTGTTCAGATAATTTATACCAGCGCTGATTTTGAATTTCAAATTCAATTTTTGCGTGATTTAATGGTTTCTGTTTTTCATCCAAGCTTGAAACTAGCAGAGTCGCTTAGACTAACTTGTTTTTTAAAGATTGTTTTTAGATCTAACCTAAGATGAAATTTTGAAACAATTAATCTGATCTTTTTAAATCTGATCGCCTAAGATGAAAATTTGAAACAGTAAATCTCATCTTTTTTTCGCATTGAAATAAATACTAAAATTGATTTGGTTCAAGATAGATCATAAATCATATAAGAATTTATTGTTTTAAATTCAGATATGATGCGAGGCTGAAGATACATTGCACCTGAACTAAAGAAGATATTTGAGATACCATCTCAAAATACCACCCATCGTATTGACCTCAAATCTCATCAAAATTGACTTAGTGAGCTGGGTTGGACAGCAAACACTCTATCTCTATATCATTTTATCTTTATCTGATTATTTATATCTTTACAAATATCTTGGCGATCGGATCCTCCTAAGAATCTGAGCTGGTTTGATTCATGGGAGCCGAATTATCTTCTTTCTACCAACTAATCGACCCTCACCAATGCTCCACTTTACCTCAAGTTGATGCTGCTGTTGACTTTTTACCCTCGTTTTTAGTTTACTGTTTAATAATAATCTCTTAGCAATTCGTGGTTAATTGTCGTTTTGCACAATCTGCACCTCTACAACAAACTCAGAAGTAAAATAACCATTAAATATTTCTAGAGTCACCACTTAATTCAAAGCTCGCGTTGTTTGATCAGCTTCAAAATATCGATCAATTTTGAAAGCTCTTGTTGCAACTTCACTGTATTTACTAATCAATTGAATACTGGGCTGACCTTAAACTGAAGTTAAGTTATTTTCCAGGCCTGAAGTTAGCCTTTGTGCAAAGTATTTACTTAACAGAAGCGTTTCATTTTGAAGTATCAGTTGTTTGATGAACCATATGATCTATTTCAAATCTGACCATTTTGAAGTCAAAAATACTTTGGCGTCTTATTAACTCAGTACTGAAATAATAAAACTATTTTGGGATTTTCCATTGATATAAAATATAATTATATTTATTCAGTTTAACTTCTTAGGAAATTCATTTTACTAAATTTCAGCAGCAAAGAAGACAACTGCAGACTATCTGTGAAATCAATTGAAGTAAAAATTGATTTCAGAAGTTAGAAGTGCGAACCGGGTTTCTTTTTCGTACGAAGTTGCTTTCTCTTGGTGTTCGGTACAGTTATTGTTTGTATTTGCTTGACCGCTAATCATCAAGTCCGAAATTATCGGGGCCGAAAAGAATCTAGTAAGTCCGAAATTTAGTAAGTCACGTGAGAAAAACCATCAACAAATAGCTCCGACGCGACAACCTATCGAGAATCTGTTTAATCGAAGTTTCGACTAGGTGTTGGTTTTACCGTTAAATCAAATATACGTTCTAACTTCACTACTCGATCATCACTGTACTTAATTTAAGGGTGATTATTCGCGAGTTCTATTGTCCAATCATAATGCAATTTCAATCCAAATCGAATCTTAGTTAGTCCCTCAAATTTTGATTATTATTGATTATTTTCATTATTACTTTCTTCGTTATCTTTGAGTATTGTTGGTATACTCAAATTTCACGTCAAGCTGAAAATAAGAACAAAAACTTGAGAATACGTAGAGTGAAGTTTAAAGTTACGCCGTTTTTGTTTGCTCTTTTTTTGTTGACAATAACTTTGCTAGTATGGCGAAAGTTTTGTTCGAATGTAAATGCGGTAATGTATCTGTACAGTTTACGGAGTCGGCTTTGGGTCGAAAAGGGGAGGGGGTTATTGCAGAAGATCCCCTCTCAGAAGGAGCAGACGATACTCTGGGAGCTGAGTGGGAGCAAATAGATTTGGTGTCATTACAGCACAAGTATCCGTCTCTCTCTATTACCTCAATTGGACCTCAGAACCAAACCAAAATTAGTTCGGTAAGTTTTGATTCGCAACTGAACATCGGATAAATGCCTTAGCAGCCATAGATGTTGCTCTCGCAAAGCACAAACAAGACTGCCTCGTATCAGGGCAAAGACCTGAATGTTCCGACTATCCTCTAACGTCTGAAATAGTTTTTGATTTAAAATTGATGACATTTTCGACAAAAATTTTCGAAAGTCGGAACAATGAATGAGATTTACGCGAGCTAAGTTCTTGTTGAAATCTATAAACATTTTTTGTGTTCTAAATGAGTTGCACGCGTCCTGCTGGAAATGAAATAAAATACTTATATTTGACTAGATGATGCAAAAATGCGGATTTTTTTCCTCGCATTTATTGTGTTCATACACAAGAAGTTTTGATTAAGACATCAGCTATTATAGCCTTTCATCTGGAAAAGGATCTCGTCAGAAAAACTGAAAAAGACAAAGATTTAATTGCTCTTTTTATTGCTCGATTAAGGGCTAAAATTCCTGGCCGCTTGTGAATAGGGCATGTATTAGTTATTTGTTTTCTTTAACAGCACTTCGCTTTCCTGACAACTACCGACTCTCACTCTCAACTCACCTTCCTTAAAAGCAAAGATGACTCATCTCCTGTGCGGCCACTGCCATGTGACGTCATCTACTGTCTGAACTGCAGGTCACCGCAGTTCATAGTCCTGTTCGCCTCTTCGTCTCATTCTTACAGTGCGACTGGGGCCGATAAAAAGGCAAACACTTTACCTCACGGTGAGTGAGCCGATATTTAGATCTTGTTAACTCCCCCCCCCCCCCCTATGGTAACTTGTAACGAATCCCTCCCCTGTTAAGGAAGAATGGAACTAAATCATATACGAATTTTGTATCTTGTAATGTTTTTCCTTCCCCATCTTGCCAAACTTGGAAACTTTTTACAAGATCCAGATTTAATGAAGTATTGGTTGAGAACCTTAAAAGCTAATAACGAAAGTTATTCCTGAAGATCTATTTCCAACTTCTGCTAGATAATTATTGGAATAGGATGGGCACGGTATCACTGCCATCACTGCGAATATTGATCTGTCAATACCATCCATTGGTGCAACATGAGTTCCAGGAAATCATCTCAGTGTTAAATGTTTTCACCTCGCTTGTTTCTTAATTGATTAAAAATCGAAGCTTGTCTTGATAGTGAGAGAAAGCGAAGCAGGTTTACATAAAGTGACTTAGTGAGAGAGCAGGGAATATGAGCAGCTCGGAAAAGACAAAAAGAAGCTGGCAAATGTTTGGTTTTTTTTGCATAAAGACTTGAGTAATTTTTAAAACATGGTTTTTAATTGTGCTGCACGGAAATGGGGAAAAAGGCCATTTTTAAAAGAAAAAATCTAAATCAGTGCCTCTTAAAATACTACAAGATATTTTATAATTGAAAGTTTGCATTTGTTTACTCAAGCGAAGCGTAATGTAATATTACGCAAATTTTTGCTTAATATTACATTAATGCTCGCAAATAAAAGTGCTCATTTGTTGGAACTTTTGGTATATTTCAATTTAATCATAAGTTCTGTTTGCTAATTTTTTAGTGTCATGGTGCACTCATCCTCTAATTATTATATCGCAGGTAGTGCGAAGCTCAGCTTCCCTCTGTGTGACATCTTATGTTTTCGGCCCAACTAACCACGTTTTTTCGGCATAGTGACCGCTCGGTAAAGACTTGGCGCTTGCTGATTGTGTTTTTCTGAAATTGAATTTCTTTTTTTCCGAAAAATATCAATTTTTAAAAAAAAATTGGCTGAGTTATTTCAGTCTCATTTTTATTCGCTAGCTTGCAACGCTACGCTTTCGTTGTGAAATGTTTGTACAATTCTGTGTATTTTTTTTTACCAATTCTGTGTACTGCAACTGATTTTGTTTTTGCTGACATTGACTGATTCATGAAGCAAATTATTAATTTCGTCTCGTCTCGTCAGAATGCCGCCAGAAATTTATGAATACTTTTTTAAGACGATAAAAACGGTTGTGTTAATTTTTTAAATATGTGTATCATTGCTGTTACTTCGAATTTGGAATTTGAATTCATTTATCCAGAAAAAATACATTAATAATGAAATAAACATTATAAGTTCTCATGAAGGTCTGTTGAAAGAGCATTTCAGTTAATCGCCAACCGCCTGGGAAAGATAAAACAAGAGGACAAGTAGAAAGGTGGCCTTCCATACAAAAAATGTTTCATAATAAACTTATTATCTATGTAATTTTTGCAAAAATTTTGTTAAAAAAGTTTTTTTAAATTCGCTCCTTTTCAATATCGTTGGGAATTAGATGAGACTATCAATATATTATATGCTAGAGTTAGGTGTCTTTTTAGAGACTTTTTCATGACTGTGCTGTGAAAGGGCACAGTTGGTAGCACACCTTTGCTGGAACTACGAGTACTTGTATAGATACCGGTTAACATGCCTTATTGTTATTACACAAGCAAAGTTTATTTTTCTGTTCATTGTTTCCAATCTATATCGCAATTTCCATTGCATGATTGTCGTGCAACATTGGTTGGTTGCAAAATTTTTTTAGACATTCAGTACTGAGCGTACTGAGATTCTCAGTACTATTTTTGAGTTTTACTTCTTATTTGACTTTTTATATAGCATGTTGTATCCGCCCGATTAAGCGCTTCCAAAGCTTCTAGTATTTTAGGTCGATAAGCAGGCAGTGCTTTATGCTGATTCCTTAATTGTTTTTCTGATTTGAAAGCTAATTTTCTTTCCAGACTTCTGTCTTGCATTTTCTGGCGTTTTCAGAGTCATGTTGCCGTTTCTTTACATGTGTTGCGACTTGCAGATTCGTTTTTGTATAATAGGTTTTTGACCATTCGAATCAAATGCGCGACTGCTGCACTTGCCCTTATTAGCTTTTATTTAAGATATTTTGTTTTTGCGACATCTGTAAAATTTAAGTGATTTGACGTCGCTGTGTTGTGTTTTAGTGTACGCCACTCAGTTCGCTGATGAAGCTAGGTCGTGTAGTGAGGAAGAGAGAGAATTGACTGTGGAGGATATTGTGGCGGAGAAGATAGGAGAAAGAGGAGTGGGAGGGGGAGGGGGAGACAACGGGAGAGATGAAGACGACGCGGAGCTGGAAGTGATAAAGAAACTTCAGAGGGTGGCAGAAGTATCACACTCCATTGGTTAGAAAACTGTTTTCTAGGTCTTAGTTTTATTTGAATTTCATCTCAGTGTTCAATTCTCCCCGATTTGGATATTGATTTTGCAGTTAGTTCCGCACTCGATTCTCAGGATTCCTAAACAGTTCCTGACACTTATTTTCCAAATTTGTTTCATTTTTGAGGAACTGTTTGTACAATTTTGGTTGTGTTATTTTGTGTTATTTGCACAGCAACTGGTTAAATAACTTTTGCATCTTCGGGCAGCGTAGTGTATTAGTACGAACCTTCTGTTTTTCTACTCACCTTGTAAATATTTAGTTTCAGGCCTTATCTTTCAATTCCTCTCAAAATCTCCTCTCAATTCGTTTCAGGCTCTGCTGTAAGAAGTGGTTCCAACAGTAGTGGGGTTGTGTTTGGGGTAGATGTGTTTCCCACTGGCCTGAAGTTGGACTGGGGAAGAGTACAGGCCAGAATGCGACAGCTGACGAATGAAGTCATGGCCGAGATAGAGGAGGAGAAGCGAATCCGAATACAGTCAGTTGATGGACTGCATGTATTGTTGTAGAAATAAATTAATGATCGCGGGGGAGGGGGGTGCGTTATATTTTTAATGGAGTTAAATTTTGGGTATGTGTGTGTGTGTGGGGGGGGGGTACTGTATGCTTTTAACCCAGAAAAGTTGAAATGGTTGTACTAAAAAGAAAAACTTTAAGTTTTCTTAGTGAAGTGGTGTTCTACAATAAAATATTGAAAACTTGAGGCTTTAAGAGAACAGTTTGCAAAAATAAATATTCAGAGAGAATTTTTAAATTAAAACAGGCAATTGATAGTTCCGATGGTCTGTGATGATTTTTCAGCTTCACACCTCTATTTTTTCTTTTTTTTTTAAATGTAATGATACTAATGCTCGGGGCTTGAAGAAGTAAAAGCTTCTCGGCTTATGATGAAGTTACACTTTAAGTTTTCTGGTGTCTTTTAGTTTTTAAATCTGTTTCCAACTAAATTCAGATTTCACAAATGAACATCAGATGGTAGGAGTTTTTGGCAGAAAATCAAAGAAACTGAGGTCGGAACACTGTTTTTAATTGTACAACAATCGGCTATTCGTGTTTAAAATAGCAGTTTTTCCATAGGAGACTGATCCACAGAGAAAACAAGCGAGCGGCCGACAAGAAACGCAAAGCAGCTTCCCTTCTGTCTTCCATAGAACAGTGAGCATCGTTTTCATATCGAAGAGTTAATCGTACCGTTCAATTGGTTTGGAGCTAGAAATCTCTTTTGAAATTAGAATCTACATTTTTATAACATTTGACCATTCAGGTGTGGACTTTTGCTCTACAGTTGAAAAATGCAAATTTTTCTTTATTTCATTATAATTTAATACGAATTGTTAGCGCGTGAATTCGTCAATTTTATTTGGACGGTTGTCTGGGTCTAATTTTGGCCAGTAATTAGTCCGTTGATTTAATCCAGAGGCATGTGTGAGTTGCCAAGATGTGCGGCTAGCAGACACTCCTCGACATCGACTGCTTCTGCAATAGGGACAGTTGACTCTCTATCCTCTCTGTCTCTATCACACGGATCTTCTCAAATGAGGACAGCTGACAGATCGACTTACAATCCAAGTTAATATTGAGTCTAATAGCTTGTGGACACCCCCCCCCCCCTCTCCGAGAAGATCCTTAAATTTTTTATCAGTAGCATCCTTCTGAAATGTTAGTTTGCCACCTTCCACCACTTAATCAGTTAATTTGTCGAAAAAGGAATAAAAACTAACTATAATCTAAAACCCATTTGTTTTTTTTTGATTTTTCGTTTGAATGGAAGTTTTCACGAGGCCTTTATTTGAATAAAACCCTAGCTCATTTGCTGTTGTCATGTTGTTTTTAGCGCTAACTTCGTTGTTTTTTCATGTAGATTCTGCTTCCTTCGGAGACTTGGATCAATTTGGCCTAGAAGACGACCAGCTAAGAGACATGTCACTGGGCCGAAAGGGAAAAGGACCGACAAACAACGAAGACGAAGAAGATGAAGGATATTTAGTGTCTTCGAATGTCTCCGAAGACGAAGAAGAAGAAGCTTTTTTCACCGAGAGCAGTGGCGGATCCTCTTCGGGCATTGACTCGGCGATGCATACAACTCAGACTAGCGTGGCTTATGGAACGGAAGGCCTAATTCCCCAAATGAGTCATAACTCGTCGGGCCAGAGAGACATCAGGGCGAGGTCGAGTACTGTGTATAATGACAGGACACAACATGGCACAAATGGGCGTTACTCGGGGTTAGTAAGAATGTCATTTTTTTTAAAGTAAACAGAAACACAGACCAAAGAAACTAAAGCACTTGAACAAAATTGCAAGAATTCCCGAGTTAGTTTCTTCTAATAGGATAAGAAACCTTTTCATCGGATATAAAGCCTCAATTTTGGTTTAGGTTCAGTGACACAAAGTTTTTTTCGATGATGAGATAAAATTTCATATCTACACAATACTGACTTGGTCGTGCTGAGTTTTGATTTTCTGCTAAATAATTACTACTTTTCGTTTGGTAAGAGCCAAGTATGTAGTAATAGTAAGTATTTGTACGACCAAGGATAATTTAAGGATCAAGTTAAATTCCTGCAAGTTCAATTCCAGTAGAACAAACAAGTTAAGATCCTCCTTGTAAAATGCTCGTTTCTGCTTGGCTGAAAATTCCAACTTAGAACCAGGTTGGAATCAAAAAGTATCGTCCCAAAAAACAAATTTGAGGGGAGGAGGATGTGAATTTGGTCCGGATTTCAAAGGTTCGATTTTGTTGACATGTTTTCCTTGATTTCATATCGAATGTTTACATCTTAATGGTACTGTTGTTGTGTAGGGATGAAGAGGGCGGAGGCGGACAGATGTTGTCGCAAAGTGTTTCGCAGCCTATTTACATTGGAAGCCACAGTTTCAGAAGTGCCTCCTCCTCCACTAGCTTTCATCGAGATCATCACAGATCGAATGCTGCCAACACCTCAGCTCATGTTAGTTGGACACCCATTTTTGATATTCCACCATTGTTGATATTGAGGACATCGCAGTCCGCCATCTGAAGTTTGGTATCGCCGCAATTAAATCGGACCTAAGTTTTGATATGAGCGAAGATAACAGTCCAAAAATGGAGCAGTAAGCTCGGGAAAATTAACATATAAAGTCAGTCAGATTTTCATTTTATACTTATATTTTCCATCGTCCGATGTCTGCAGAGTCTCCATCCTGCTCTGCGGGTGCTATGGAGGCTACAGGGACATCGCACAGTTATTAGAGACAGTAACCAAAGCAACTAAATAGTGAACAAGTTCGAGGAATTTAAAAAAAAACAGGGGACGAGACAAGCGAGTTTCGGAACCAAAAAGTTCTGAGAAAAAGTTTGTTATTCTCTGACATAATCAAAAGCATGCTGTGGATTGGACGGTTCAGACGGCCAGTCAATATAACATACTTCGAAGGTAGTGTACATATTATAAATTAGATTGATGCCGTGTTCTAGGACAATGACTTACATTTGCGCATGCGTGAACTGTCGCGCAGTGTGCGGGGAGAATCGAGTGACATCTTTGGAGACCTCCCGGATGATCATCGCAAACTGGACTTCGCCCAGATCATGCGCAGCTACACAAACTCATCCGAGGGAATACTTATGATGCAACAGGCTCATGAGAACGGAACTGAGTCGACCAATGACGAGAACAATTGATTCGATGCGACACATAAAACTGACGCGAAACAAAAATCATTCAAAAGCAGTAGTTGAATTAGAATTGGAAGATGCAGTGATGTTTTATTAGCTAATTGGATTGAAAGAAATCTCTTTTCTAGATTTTAGGTGAATAGAGTACATGAATAAAAGCTACTGAATTTAAAGTTTTACAAGGTTCAAAGAGATTTACGGGTCTTCATGGTCAAGTTGTTTAGGATTGACCTAAATGTTGAACTATCGTTGCAAAGACGTTTGAGTTGAATTAAACGTCGATACCTGTGGACGATAACTTCGAAAAGAGTGAATTTATTTTTAAGAAGTTTGATAATGCTGGAATGCCATGCTCATATAAGCGCAGTTGAAATTATGGATATTTTTCCATATTATGAAATTAGTTAATAATGCATCTGACATAGTTATTTACTTCTTTTTTAATACAACAAATCAAGTTAAACAGTTTTCCTGTTAGTTCTGACCTTGAGCTGTCATTCAACATAGGTAATGAATGAATCTATGCCAGCAATTTCAAAATATTGACGAGTCGTTATTAGTGGTCCTCAAACTTATTACACTAACGAACGTAGTGTATTAGTATGACTACTTTTTTTCCAGACCTAACTTGCAAATTAAAGCGCTTATTTGGTGATTTTTTGCTATAATCACGATCTAGCATTGATTATTTCATAGCATCTGTTCTCTTGTTTAATATGTTTGACGATTTGTAAGTGTCCGATGCTAAAATTGAAGCACAAGAGACTCCTAATCTCGAGGTCGCTCGTCCGAATCTGACGAATAGCAAGTTTTACTAATTCGAGGCCTAATTAACTTTTACTTATTTCATTTTATAGAGCTGCTTTTTGTCGTTGCTAGTATTTGCAAAGGGCAGCTTGCTTGTGTTTAAACAGGAACATTTTGCATGCAAGCATTTTGTCTAAAAGTCATTGAATCTTTTCCATGTTGATTACTTCAAATGTCAATGAACGTACTGAAAACACTTTTAAATGTACTTCAAGCCCGAATTTGAGTTATCGCAGTGGGATTTTTAAAATTTTTAACTATCGAACAGAACAATTGGTACAAGGTACAAGGCTTTTAGTATGTCATTTTTGATCGGCTCAACTGGCTTCTACCGGCTTAATATATGCGGTCGCCTTTTCTGTCCGCTAGCTTACAATGCTATATTTGTTGCTGTGTGGTCTTAAACACGGTTCGAAGCTTCTCATTATTTCTATGCATGCAACTTGAAAGAGACTGCATTTGATTTTTTTTCTAATGTTGGAATGACATGCTGATATCTCAGGAGAAAAAGTCGAGTTAGGTTTACAATTGAAGGTAAGCTGGCTAAATTTCATTTAGAATTATGGAAAACTATTATCGTCACTGTAATGAACATTTCTTCAGCAAAATATCAACAATCGCGTTGGAACGACATTTTACACGAATTCAAATTAAAATTGAGTCAATGAAAGTTTCCTTTAATTTGCACTATCAAGCGTAAATTACTACTAAATTACATCTTTAGGAGAATTAACGAATACGAGTAATTCTACTTTTCGAAAAAGTAAATTCAGTTGGATGTGAAAAACGGAACGGTCAGCACGTTTGTCTGTATGGGTGCCCCCACTTGTGTCTGTGTGGATGCCCCCACGTGTGTTTGTATGGGTGCCCCCACGTGTGTTTATATGGGTGCCCCCTCGTGTGTCTACATGGGTGCTCCCACCCACGTGTTTCTTTATGGGTGCCCAAATATGTGTCTGTATGGGTGCCCCCACGTGTGTCTGTGTGGGTGCCCCCACGTGTCTGTGTGCGTGCCCCCACGCGTATATATATATATATATATATATATATATATGGGTACCCCCACATGTGTGTATGTGTGCCCCTATGTGTCTGTATGGGTGCCCCCACCCACGTGTGTCTTTATGAATGAACCCACGTGTGTCTGTATGGGTGAACCCACGTGTCTGTATGGGTGCTCCCACGTGTGACTGTATGGATGCCCCCACCCACGTGTGTCTTTATGGGTGCCCAAATGAGTGTCTGTATGGGTGCCCCCACATGTGTCTGTGTGGGTGCCCCCACATGTGTGTATGTGTGCCCCTATGTGTCTGTATGGGTGCCCCCACCCACGTGTGTCGTTATGAAAGCCCACATGTGTGGCTGTATGGATGAACCCACGTGTTTTGGGAAAAGAAAATATTGAAGAACTATTAATTTCAATATCAAAAATCATGTGTGAAAACTTATTTAATGGTTTGTAAGGGTTCCCCACGTGTATTTGTATGGGTGCCCCCTCGTGTGTTCATGGGTGCCCCAACGTGTGTTTGTATGGCTGCCCCCACCCACGTGTGTCTTTATGGGTGCCCAAATGTGTGTCTGTATGGGTGCCCCCACATGTGTCTGTGTGGGTGCCCCCAGATGTGTGTATGTGTGCTCTATGTGTCTGTATGGGTGCCCCCACCCACGTGTGTCTTTATGGGTGCCCACATGTGTGTCTGTATGGATGAACCCACGTGTGTCTGTATGGGTGCACCCTCGTGCGTCTGTATGGGTGCCCCAACGTGTGTGTATGTGTGCCCCTATGTGTCTGTATTGGTGTCCCCACCACTTGTGTCTTTATGGGTGCCCATATGTGTGTCTGTATGGGTGAACCCACGTGTGTCTGTATGGGTGCCCCCACGTGTGTCTGTATGGGTGCCCCAACGTGTATCAGTATGAGTGCCCCCACGTGTGTCTGTGTGGGTGCCCCCTCGTGTGTCTATGGGTGCCCCTACGTGTGTCTATATGGGTGCCCCACCCACGTGTGTCTTTATGGTTGCCCAAATGTGTGTCCATATGGGTGCCCCCCCGTATGTATTTACTGGTGCCCCCACGTGTGTATATATGGGTGCCCCCACATGTGTGTATGTGTGCCCCTATGTGTGTGTATGGGTGCCCCCACCCACGTGTGTCTTTATGGGTGCCCACATGTGTGTTTGTATGGGTGAACCCACGTGTGTCTGTATGGGTGCCCCCACGTGTGACTGTATGGGTGCCCCAACGTGTGTAAGTATGAGTGCCCCCACGTGTGTCTGTATGAATACCCCCTCGTGTGTCTCTATGGGTGCCCCCACCTGTGTCTGTATGGGTGACTCACGTGTGTCTGTGTGGGTATGTATGAGTGGCTGTTTGTCTGTGTGGGAATGTATGAGCCCTCGCGTGTGTCTGTATTGGTGCCCCCACCACTTGTGTCTTTATGGGTGCCCATATGTGTGTCTGTATGGGTGAACCCACGTGTGTCTGTATGGGTGCCCCCACGTGTGTCTGTATGGGTGCCCCAACGTGTATCAGTATGAGTGCCCCCACGTGTGTCTGTGTGGGTGCCCCCTCGTGTGTCTATGGGTGCCCCTACGTGTGTCTATATGGGTGCCCCACCCACGTGTGTCTTTATGGTTGCCCAAATGTGTGTCCATATGGGTGCCCCCCGTATGTATATACTGGTGCCCCCACGTGTGTATATATGGGTGCCCCCACATGTGTGTATGTGTGCCCCTATATGTGTGTATGGGTGCCCCCACCCACGTGTGTCTTTATGGGTGCCCACATGTGTGTCTGTATGGGTGAACCCACGTGTGTCTGTATGGGTGCCCCCACGTGTGACTGTATGGGTGCCCCAACGTGTGTCAGTATGAAGGCCCCCACGTGTGTCTGTATGAATACCCCCACATGTGTCTGTATGGGTGACTCACGTGTGTCTGTGTGGGTATGTATGAGTGGCTGTGTGTCTGTGTGGGAATGTATAAGCCCTCGCGTGTGTCTGTATTGGTGCCCCCACCACTTGTGTCTTTATGGGTGCCCATATGTGTGTCTGTATGGGTGAACCCACGTGTGTCTGTATGGGTGCCCCCACGTGTGTCTGTATGGGTGCCCCCACGTGTGACTGTATGGGTGCCCCCACGTGTGTCTGTGTGGGTGCCCCCTCGTGTGTCTATGGGTGCCCCTACGTGTGTCTATATGGGTGCCCCACCCGCGTGTGTCTTTATGGTTGCCCAAATGTGTGTCCATATGGGTGCCCCCCCGTATGTATATACTGGTGCCCCCACGTGTGTATATATGGGTGCCCCCACATGTGTGTATGTGTGCCCCTATGTGTGTGTATGGATGCCCCCACCCACGTGTGTCTTTATGGGTGCCCACATGTGTGTCTGTATGGGTGAACCCACGTGTGTCTGTATGGGTGCCCCCACGTGTGACTGTATGGGTGCCCCAACGTGTGTCAGTATGAGTGCCCCCACGTGTGTCTGTATGAATACCCCCACATGTGTCTGTATGGGTGACTCACGTGTGTCTGTGTGGGTATGTATGAGTGGCTGTGTGTCTGTGTGGGAATGTATGAGCCCTCTCGTGTGTCTGTATTGGTGCCCCCACCACTTGTGTCTTTATGGGTGCCCATATGTGTGTCTGTATGGGTGAACCCACGTGTGTCTGTATGGGTGCCCCCACGTGTGTCTGTATGGGTGCCCCCACGTGTGACTGTATGGGTGCCCCCACGTGTGTCTGTGTGGGTGCCCCCTCGTGTGTCTATGGGTGCCCCTACGTGTGTCTATATGGGTGCCCCACCCACGTGTGTCTATATGGGTGCCCCACCCACGTGTGTCTTTATGGTTGCCCAAATGTGTGTCCATATGGGTGCCCCCCCCCGTATGTATATACTGGTGCCCCCACGTGTGTATATATGGGTGCCCCCACATGTGTGTATGTGTGCCCCTATGTGTGTGTATGGGTGCCCCCACCAATTGTGTCTTTATGGGTGCCCCCACCAATTGTGTCTTTATGGGTGCCCACATGTGTGTCTGCATGGGTGAACCCACGTGTGTCTGTATGGGTGCCCCCACGTGTGACTGTATGGGTGCCGCAACGTGTGTCAGTTTGAGTGCCCCCACATGTGTCTGTATGGGTGCCCCCACATGTGTCTGTATGGGTGCCCCCACGTGTGTATGTATGAATACCCCCACGTGTGTCTCTATGGGTGCCCCCACGTGTGTCTGTATGAGTGCCCCATGTGTGTCTGTTTGAGTGCCCCCACGTATGTCTGTATGTATGCCCCTAATTGTCTGTATGGGTACCCCACGTGTGTCTACCCGATGCCCCCTGAGGTCACTGGCTATACTACCCGAGGTCCGCTATGGGAGAAGTCTTCAAATGGGAGAAGTCTTCAAGTGAGTAAAGTCTTCAATTGGATGAGCATTTAAAGATAATGGATGATGAACTGGAACAAGATGAACATTTGTTTATGTTTTAAAGAAAATTTTATAATTTACATCTTCAATTAGCTTTTTTTTTCTTCCAGGCCTAATTAGAACTAAAAATAGAATAGCCTGCTAAGCGAAATAAAATGGATTATAATGAATAATTGATTATTTTGGAGAAAAGAGTGGATTATAAAGGATTTGAATGGATTTTTACTTTTCGAAAAAAAAAATAGATTTAATGACCAGATAATCAATTCCCTGGTCTGCATTTGCAGCAATAATGGATTACAATGACAACATTTGACATTTGAGACAATATTTTTCCATTTTAATCGTTGATTATCCATGGAGCACCGATGCGGGTAGCACACCGGAGATAACTCAGGGCAAAAAAACTATTCTGCTGGAAGGGTCCATTTGAAGTCTTTTAATAAAACGTTACGGCATTAAGAATTACAAAATAGCAACTTCCACTTCTTTGAGAAAAATATGAACTCCAAAATAAATTTGTTTGGACATAAAATTGGCATTGTTTTTAACAGTCGTCATTTATCAAGCACATTTTCAAGCAAACTATTGAGATTTAAATAAGACAACAGACAAATAATAAACCATGATATTCATTACCTGTGGTGATTAAAATAAAAACAAAACAGTTACTGTAGGTTTGCCTTACTTGCATGGCTTGATCAAGACTTCGAGATCAATTGAAGTAACATTTTTAATTAGGACCGCGCTGGAAAAAAAAACGGGACAGAGTTATTGAATAGTATGGTAGGGTGTTTCAAAGTTACTTCAATCAGGTACTTCGAGGAAGTCATGGACTCAGGGAACTATTGCTCGGTAATGAAGTTGGTTTCATAGGGAGTCAGCTAATTTTTCAGCAATATGCGAAAAATTAATATTCTCATTCCAATGAAAATTGTCTATACTTTCCTATTATTTTCTATAGATTTTAGTAGGCCTAAGTTCACATTATAATCTGTTTCTTTATCATTTCATTTGAAATTCAAAACAAGACTGTTCGTATATCAAGGCAAAGCCCTGAATGTTCCGAGTGCCCCTTAATCATATCGAATAGTTTTTGGGAAAATAAAATATCGAAAAAAGTATTAATTTCAATATTAAAAATCATGTGTGAAAATTTGAGTCGTACAAAATTAATACGACCGATTAGCTAGCCTTAATTCAATTTGAAATCATTTTGTTGTGCACGATAATTTGCCACACAGATTTAATTTGTGTTACGCTGTCAAGATTATGGATAATCTTCAAAGCGCGCATAAATTAGTCCAGACCATGGCCCAATTGGCAGTTACCCAGTTCATCATCAAACAATTACAATAAAGTGAACAGAAAACTGACACTACATGATAGAAATGCTACTAATCAACTTTTGAAATGATTAAAATTTTTATATAATTCTAAAAAATCGAAAATGAAAGCATGAGTAGAGAAAATTGTGTCAAGTACTATGATGCATTTTCATCCCCAAACTTTGAAAAATTGAAAGTTTTTGAAAAATTGAAAAAAAGTTTGAAAAATTCCATTTTCATCCCCAAAATTTGAAAAATTGAATTTCAGTTGAATATATGGATATTTTTCCATATTATGAAATTAGTTAATATTGCATCTGACATTGTTACTTACTTCTTTTTTAATACAACAAATCAAGTTAAACAGTTTTCCTGTTAGTTTTGACCTTTAGCTGCCATTCAACGTAGGTAATGGATGAATCTATGCCAGCAATTTCAAGATATTGACGAGTCGTTATTAGTGGTCCTCAAACTTATCACACTAACAAACGTAGTGTATCAGTATGACTACTCTTTTTCCAGTGACTTTCTGCTCTTATCACGATCTGTACCTTTGGTTATTTCATAGCATCTGTTCTCTTGCTTTATATGTTTGACGATTTTTAAGTATCCGATGCTAAAAGGGAAGCACGAGAGACTCCTAATCTCGAGATTGCTGGTTCGAATCTGACGAATAGCAAGTTTTACTAATTCGAGGCCTAATTCAACTTTTTCTTATTTCATTTTATAGAGCTGCTTTTTGTCGTTGCTAGTGTTTGCAAAGGGCAGCTTTGCTTGTGTTTAAACAGGAACATTTTTCATGCAAGCATTTTTTCTAACAGTCATTGAATTTTTTCCACGTTGATTACCTCAAGTGTCAATGAACGTACTGAAAACACTTACAAGTGTACTTCAAGCTCAAAGTTGAGTTACCGCAGTGGGATTTTTAAAATTTTTAACTATTGAACAAAACAATTGCTTAGAATGTTTAAGGCTTTTAGTAGGTCATTTTTTTTCGGCTCAACTGGCTTCTCCCGGCTTAAAATATGCGGTCGCCTTTTCTGTCCGCTAGCTTACAATGCTATATTTGTTTGTGTGGTCTTAAACACGGTTCGAAGCTTCTCATCATTTTTATGCATGCAACTTAAAAGAGATTGCGTTTGATTTTTTTCTAATGTTGGAATGTCATGCTGATATCTCAGGAGAAAAAGTCGAGTTAGGTTTACAATTGAAGGTAAGCTGGCTAAATTTCATTTAGAATTATGGAAAACTGTTATTGTCACTAATGAACATTTGTTGAGCAAAATATCAACATTCGCGCTAGATCGACATTTTACACGCATTAAAATTAATATTTCGTTAATATAAGTATCCTTTAATAAACACTATCAAGCATTAATTACTACTAAGTTACATCTTTAGAAGAATTAACGCATACGAATATTTCTGCTTTTCGAAAAAAATTTTTAAGTTGGATGTGAAAAACGGAACGGTCAGCACGTTTATCTGTATGGGTGCCCCCACCTGTTTCTGTATGGCTGCCCCACGTGTGTTTGTATGGGTGCCCCCACTTGTGTTTGTATGGGTGCCCCCTCGTGTGTTTATGGGTGCCCCTTCTTGTGTCTGTATGGGTGCCCCCACCCACGTGTGTCTTTATGGGTGCCCAAATGTGTGTCTATATGGGTGCCCCCACGTGTGTCTGTAGGTGTGCCCCCACGTGTGTATATATGGGTGCCCCCACATGTGTGTATGTGTGCCCCTATGTGTCTTTATGGGTGCCCCCAGCCACGTGTTTTTATGGGTGCCCACGTGGTTGCCTTATTTGCGTGGCTTGATCCAGACTTCGAGATCAATTGAAGTAACATTTTTAATTAGGACCGCGCTGAAAAAAAAAACGGGACAGAGTTATTGAATAGTATCGAAGGGTGTTTCAAAGTTACTTCAATCAGGTACTTCGAGGAACTCATGGACTCAGGGAATTATTGCTCGGTAATGAAGTTGGTTTGATAGGGAGTCAGCTAATTTTTCAGCAATGTGCGAAAAATTATTATTCTCATTCCAATGAAAAATGTCTATACGTTCCTATTATTTTGTATAGTTTTTAGTAGGCCTAAGTTCACATTATAATCTGTTTCTTTATCATTTCATTTGAAATTCAAAACCTGACTGTTTGCATATCAAGGCAAAGCCCTGAATGTTCCGACTGCCCCTTAATTATATCGAATAGTTTTTGGGAAAAAAAAATATTGAAAAAAGTATTAACTTCAATATCAAAAATCATGTGTGAAAATTTGAGTCGTACAAAATTAATACGACAGATTAGCTAGCTTTAATTCAATTTGAAATCATTTTGTTGTGCACGATAATTTTCCACGCATAATTAATTTGCGTTACGCTGTCAAGATTATGGATAAATTAGTCCAGACCATGGCCCAATTGGCAGTTACCCAGTTCATCATCAAACAATTACAATAAAGTGAACAGAAAACTGACACTACATGATAGAACTGCTACTAATTAACTTTTGAAACGATTAAAATTTTTATATATTTTCTAAAAAATCGAAGATGAAAGCATGTGTAGAGAAATTTGAGTCTAGTACTATGATGCATTTTCATCTCCAAACTTTGAAAAATTTAAAAATTTTGAAAAGTTGAAAAAAGTTTGAAAAATTCCATTTTCATCACCAATGTTTGAAAAATTGAATTTCAGTAGATACGTTTGAAGTCAAAAATTTTTATACTGGCAATCAACTTAGATGCTTCAATTTTTTGCTTCCTGGAAGTGCTGTGCTCGTTTTCCGAAAATAGATACTACTTTTTTTGTAATAAACGCAGGATTAATGAGAACTTCTAAGAGCAGAAAAAAACAGATGAACAGAATAAAAATTGCTTAGAACTTCACCAGAATCAATATGGTGCTTCTTTTGCAAAAATTTTACCCCAAAAATAGGTCATTTTGGCGCTTTTTCACAAAATCAAGAATTGCGCTGCAACTACCAAGCTAACTGCTGACAGAGTTTTTACAAGCAGAAGCCCTTTGCACAGCCCAACAGAGTCACATGACGGTAAATCTATCAAAAAATTGCGTAAAACCTATGAAAATTGTTTTGATTTT